TGGGGTGTGTGTGTTGGGGGGGTGGGGGGGGTTGGTAGTGGTGGCGATGTGGCATTGAATACCATTCATGTACAAGTGATCGTGTGTGTGTGTGTGTGTGTGGGGTGGTGGTGGTGGTGTGGTGGTGGTGGTGGGGGTATGCCATCGCTGTGGGCATGGTCCATGGCAGGGGGGTGGTGATCACCACCACGCTCACCACCACCTCACCCCCCTCCCCCCCACCTACCCACCCACCCCATGTCGCAAGCGTGCCTAAACTGTGGGGTGACCAAGACGCCCATCTGGCGCAAGGGCCTGGACAACCGTGTGGTGTGCAATGCCTGCGGGCTGTACTTTCGCAACCATGGCAAGTCCCGCCCCATGGACGTCATTGCCGGCAAGCGCTCTCGCTCGGCTATAACCAGTGGCGGCATGAGCCGGGCAGAGCGGAGGAGGATTGCTCGCGAGGCGAAGGAAGCTGCGGCGTTGGCTGCAGCGGCAGCTGATACTGGTGGCTATGCCATCACTGCCGTCTCGTCCTTTGTCAAGTCGGCGGCGCTGGCGAGAGAGACGCCCGCCGCTCGGGCCCGTCTCGAAGCCGCCGTCATTCCTCGCATGCCAGAGCTCGAGGCCTACGCCCCGGCAAAGTCCAACGTCGACTGGCGCTCCACCGCTCCGCCCATCCCGCGCTCCGCGCCTCCAGGCAACATCGCTGCTCGCCCGCGCCCGCTGCCCTTTATCCGCACAAACACCATCCCGGCCGTCCGCAAGCGCGAGCGGATGAACGCCATCATGGAGGAGGTCTACCGCGCCACAAAGCGGCCCAAGCGGAGCTCGCGCAAGACTGCTGTCACAGAGCCTGCCTCTCCTGCCACTGCTGCCTCACCGCCTCCGCTCGATGTCGACGCCGTCCCGCTCGTCGTCGACCCGGCCACTGACTCCGGCTCGCCTGATGACCCCGAGTCGTCCGACGACGACCTCGCCGCCTGGGATGCTGTCCACACTGTTGACCGCCCCTCGGACGGGCTCTCACTTCGCATCGGCGACGCCGTCGCCATCCGCGCAGACCCCGCCTCGTCGCTCGAGTATCACGCCGTCATCGCAGGCTTTACCTGGAACCTCGATGCCATCTACGTCGTTTGGCTCCGCCGCCGCGCTGCTGCGGCTGTCTCCGCTGCGCCCGGCCCGCCGCTTTCGGCCTTTTACGACCTCGCCGAGCTCGACCCGGCTCCACAGCCGTTCGATGCCGTCGTCAGCTGCCTCGGCTTTTCCGCCCATCTCCCCTTTGACCTCATCCGCGCCGCCCGCGCCGCCGCGCTCATCACCGCCGACGCCGACGCCGACGCCGACGCTGACGCCGCCGCCGTCTCGCCGGCCCTACAGGCCGACGACAGCCTTGCCCGCCTCGCTCTCGTCTCGTCGCTCGCCGTAGCTCAAGCATGAACTCATGAACGCCCCCGTGCCCGCTTGCTCGCCCCGCCATGCCCGCTGTCGCCGCTGCTGCGAGAGTCCAGGACGCCAAAGTCTGACTCGTCAGACTGCGACCCGTCGTTGTCCGACAACTCGACGTCTTCCCAAGCCGGCAGCAACTTGCCGATCTTACCCAGCTCATCCTCCACTAGCCGCGCCATCTCACCAATCCGCCGCACCGCCTGATTCGCCACCTCGACATGCGAGAGCTCCCGGCTCTCCGGGCCGCGCGGCGCCTGCACCCCGCCCTCCACTAGCGCCTGCTGCAGCGCCCGGATGTACGCCACCGCGCCCTGCACCACCGCCACCCGCGAGCTGGAGCTACGGAATCCATCCGGCACCACATCCCGCAGCTCGTTGCACGCCTGCGTCATGTTGCCGCGATATGCCTTGAGCCGGCTCTTGTGATCCACTTTCGGACCCTTGCCCTTGTCCGCCGTCCGCTTCCGCTTCCGGCTTCGCCTGGCAGCTGCCACCGTCTCGCGCGGCGGCGGCGCCGGGTTGGGCGGCGGTGCCGCCGATGGCGATGGCGACCGCGTCGGCGGCAGCGGGTCCACCCCACTCCCGCCCCCCACCCTGCCACCCCCGCTCCCGTAACCGGCTCCGCTCTGGCTCCTCAGGTTTTCCTGGAAATCGAGAATGGCCCGCACGCCCGGCCTCAGTAGCTCGCGGGCGATCTGGGTCATGTGCTCTTCGGCTGCAGCGTCACTCTGCCCTCCCCCGCCACCAGCATCGTCATCATCGTCGCCGCCGCCGTCGTCGTCGTTGTCGGCTACCGCAATCTGGACTTGCCTCGTCAGCAGATCGGTCGGCCGCCCGGTCCCATCGTCCCCGCTCGTTACCGTAAACCTCATTCCTGACGCCATCGGTGTCGTCATGAACGTCATCGTCGGTTCGTCTGCCCTTGCCAGCACAGCAGACGGTTCCATCGCCACCGCAAAGGCGGCGTCACCACCGGCCGCTCCAGCCCCACGCCCGCTCCGTCCGCTCCCGCCTCGTCCCGCTACTCCTTCCGCCGCTGCTCTCGTCCTCGCCCGCTGCCCTCCTCCACCACGTACGCCTTGACTCATGTGTTGTCGAGACGTGTCGCTCGCCCGAGCCCGACTCGACTCCACGCCCACGTCCACACCTACGACCAGCGCCGGCTGCTCAACTGAGCCGAGCCGAGGGGACGGCGTGTGGTGATGGCGCGTGTGGGGTCAGCATAGAAACAATTTTTACAGCCCCCCCCTCCCCCCTCCCCCCCAACTGCTTGCTCCTCACTCTACATCACTGCCGGAGAGCGGCGAGGACTTGGAGGTCATCGATGGGCGGTGGGCTGGTGGGCCGGTAGACGATGAGTTGGAGCCGCGGGAGGAGGCTGAGAGAGCAGCGGCAGTGGCGGCCGAGGCCCGCGGTTCGACGCGGAGTGACTCGGCGTAGAGTGCGTCATCGTCGAGGGCACCGGCGCAGGCCGAGAGCTCGGCGGCGAGCGCGGGGATGCGGGTGTAAGTGTACGGCTCCGACTGGAAGAGAGTGATCCGCGAGATGGCGTCGTACATGAGCCTCCGCTTGGCAAAGTTGATCTCACCGTCGATGCTGTCCGGGTTCTCCTCGATGAACGTCAGATCCTTGATAAAGATGCCGATGAAGGGAATGCACGGCGGGTTGGCCTTGGCGAGCGCGGCGCGCAGGCCCTTGTACGAGCCCTCGGCCGAGACAAGCGTCTCGAGCGAGGCCAGTGTCTGGCTTGCCGACTTGGAGAGCGCCTCGCGTGTTGCCCGCAGCCGTGCCACCGCCACGTGATTGAGGCCCGAGACCAGCGCCATGACCGACGCAAAGTTGTTGGCCTCCCAGCACGCCTTGGCCACCCGGATGAGCTTGGCCATCCGACTCGCGCGATCGCGGACCGTCGCCCCGGCCACCACTAGCGTCGCCACCCATGTCGAGAACTCGTTGAACCGCGCGATGAAGGACATGAGGTTCGGCGCAAAGCAGTGCCGCTCGGCCTTGGCGTAGTTCTGGTTGAGGAACTCGGACGGGAGAATGCGCTTGAAGAGCGCGTAGTCGAGGAGCGCAATCTGCTGCGCCACCGCCACCGGCGACGCATCCCACAGCGTGTCTTTGGCCGAGCTGCCGCTCCGGCTCCCTCCCGCAGGCGCAAGCGCCACCCGGTGGGAGAAGCTTCGCCTCACCCTGGTCTCCGGCTCGTCCACAAGCGCCGTCTTGATCTTGGCAAAGAGCGACGCTGCAAGCTTGGCCTTGCCGTCGTCGACAAGCGTTTCAGCCACAAACGCGTAGAGCGAGGCCTGAACCGACGGCTCGAGCGCGTGGAACGGCCGCGATGAGAGCCAGTTGCGGAGAACGTTGACAACGCGCAGCTGGATCTGTGACTGCGTTCCCGCGTTAAACGCGTTGAGCGCTTGCTGTGGCGACCAGCTGCGACGCGGCGACGGCTGCGGTGACGGACTCGCCGCCCGCTCGCCGCCGCTGCTCAACGGGCTCTCCCACACCCGCTTCTCCGCGTTGAGCATGTACCCGTGGTCGGCCTCCGCCTCAAGCCACGCCGGCGGTGTGTCGCTCGCCTCCGCCTCCACCAGCAGCTCGCCCGAGTGCAGCGCTTGGCCAAGTGCGAGTGCTTGCATCTCGTCATCGACTACCGCCGCGAGAACCGCAAGCAGCCAGTCGACAAACTGCGACTTTGTGAACGGGACTCCGGGCTCAAACGAGGCCCGGACTCGCGCCGCGATCTCGTCGATCGTCGGCAGCCGCGGCGACTCGGGCGGCGACGGCGCGTGTGAGCCGCGCCGTGCCGGCACGCCCAGTGCCCCGCCCCTGCCCGCCGCCTCACCACCGCCGCAGAGCTCAAACGGCGTGTGGTACCGCTCAAGCAACTTGCGGAGGAGAGCCTGCGGGCTGGTGAACGAGTCGTAGGTGAGAAGGAAGATCTTCTGGAACCGCAGGTCGTGCTCGTGCTGCGACGTCAGCCGCCGGACAAGCGTATTGAGTGACCCGACCTCGACGTCGCCGGTCGGCGTCTCAGCCTCGTCGCGGATGTCGCCGTCGTCGCTTGGCGAGCTCGGCGGAAGCGCGCTCGGCTCCCAGAAAAGCCACAGGCTGGAGCCAAACGGCAAGCCGAGCTCAAAGAGCGAAGCCTCCCGCTCGAGCTCGTCGCCCCCGTCTGCCGCTGTCGTAACACGCACAGCCGCCGCAAGCGCCGCCGCTGGAAGCTCAAGCGGAAACCGGAAGCCGAACCGCCGCGCAAACGCTGGAACGAGCGAGACAATCGTGCGGTTGTAGTCGACGCTAACGAGGCCGAGAGCTCGGCCTCTCCCCGCGAGGTCCACACTGTGAGCGCTTGCGGCACAGCCTTGAAGATCAGGTGTGTGATCGAGTAGCTCAGCTCGGTCAGCGAGAGCGAGAGCGGGAGCGGTCGCGCCGGCGCCACCCCTGCGTGCGCCTGGTGGAACGGCAAGAAGAAGCCGAGAGCTGAGACCGGCACAAAGGTGTCGACGTGACCGCCCGTGACCAGTGTCGTCACCAACTCGGCCACCGTCACCGACTCGCTCACCATGACCATGTTATCGACCTCGAGCGCGTCCGGCTCGTCGAGCGCGAGCTCCACCAGCATCTCCACCGCAGACAGGCCTGCCGCACCAAGCGCCGCCGCCGCCTCGCGGGCCTCATCGAGCTCGTAATCGTTGACGCCCGGCGCGTCGAGCGCATCCAGCCGCGACACAATTTGGAACGGCCGGACTACAAGCTTGAGGACAATGCCAGCGAGCGTGCCGTCGTCGCGGCCTCCAGGCGCCCCCGGTCCCATCGAGAGGTGCGGGACAATTGTCGAGAGGAGCGCAAACGGGTTGAGCGCCGCCCCACTGCCGGCGTCAAACAGAGCGCAGCAAGTGAGGAGCGCCGGCGAGAGCGAGAACTTGCGCCCCAGTGTCTCAACCACGTCCAGCGGCGTGTGGTAGCCCATGGCCGGCACCGCGCACTGCGAGCCGTCTGCGCCACGCGCCACAGCCTTGGGCAGGTCAATGGCGACCGAGAGGAGGAGCGGCGCCGCCGCGCTCGCAGGCGCCGTCCGCGCCATCACACCCATGACCTCGTCGCCGACGCTCAGCGCGCCGATGGGGAACACCCCGTCGGTGTTGTCAAACCGCCCGAGCGCCCAACCAGACGCAAAGACTGCGGTCACCGCTACCTCTGCGCCCATCGGGAACGGGAGCTGCGGAAGCACATCGAGGGCATCCATCCCGTCGGCAGGCGGGGCGTACGTCACCCGCGCCGTGCCAAGCCCGAGATACGTCAGGTTGTCGGCGCTGGCCTCTCCGGTTGCGCCGAGATCCGCCAGCCGCGGCGCCCGCCCACCCGGCGCCGGCGACGACGTCTTGACCAGCCAATCGTCCCAGGTGTACAGCGCCCGCGGGTCGACGCTGAACAGGGCCGTTGTCGTCCGCACAGATTTCTGCGTCATTGCCCGCGACCGGAAGAACGACCGCATCTGGACCGAGTCGTATGAAGAGAACGCATCGGCGTCGGCGTCGGCATTGGCATCGACATTGGCATTGGCACTGGGAGCTTCAGCAGCAGCAGACGCGGGCGCAGGTGCAGGCGCAGGCGCGGGCGCCAGCGCGGGTGTTGGCGCCAGCGCGGATACAGGCGAGGCTGACGCTGGCGCCGACGACGTCGAAGTCTCGTAGGTCGAGCTGGTCGAGCCCGAGTCCGTCTCGTAGTCTGACGACGTGGCATACGACGATGACGACGACGACGACGACGACGACGACGACGAGTGCACCGGCTGGCGCTTGTCGGGACCTACAGCCGACTTGGAGGGCGAGAGCACGCCTTGCGCCTTTGGAGCTGACGCAAGCGCAGCTGAAGGACGTGGCGGTCGAGCGCCTGTCGTGGCTGTCTTGGCATGGCGGCGACGGATACGTGCCGAGGAGTGATGCGAGCGCGCGCTTGGTGCGGCAGTGCGGATCCTGCGACTAGCGCGCGAGCGTTTCTCCCGCCGCGCTCTGACCCGAGAGATACGACGTGCGTGCGCTGCCGAGCGCGAGTCGGGCAGTGCACGCTCATCAGCCGGCTGGGCCGTATCTGCCGTCATGAGCGAGTCGCGCAGCGTGGTTCTCAGCGGGCGATCGTCCCGGGCCCGCGCCGATCCACCGCCATCGACCGCAATCTGAGCCTTGAGGCTCGCAATTGCCCGCTTTGCATCTTCAAGCTCGATGCGAAGATCGACGACGTCAGCGTTTGCGGCGTTTGTGGCAGAGACAGCAAGCTTCAGTTGCTTGTCGGCCTCTGCCGCAGCAGCCTTTGCAGCGATGGCTCTTGAGCGCCAAGACTCGCCCACAGCCTTTTCCCATCCACCTGCCGCCGCCACCGATCTCAACCTGCGAGTCAGCGCCCGTTCCGTCTCCAGCGCCACCTCCAGCGAGCTTTCCCGAGCATGTGCCGCCTCCAGAGCGCCATTAAGGGCAGCTATCTCAGCCCGTAGCGAGTTGCCTGACCGCAGGCCGCGTGCCGCCGACACCTGGGTCGTCTCCACCTCTTCCTCCATACAGCGCAGAGCGGAGGCGTGTGCGGAGGTGTGTGCAGTCGTGGCGTCGAGTGGTGGTTCCGCCGTCTTTGGTGGCTTTGGTTTGCTTCGCCGACTGGCTGACTGGGTTGAGTCTGGCGACATGGGTCGACCCCAGTCCATCGACTCGCTCGGGTTGGGCGGGCTGATGGATGGGCGGGCTGATGGATGGGCGGGCTGATGGATGGGCGGGCTGATGGATGGGCGGGCTGATGGATGGGCGGGCTGATGGCTGGGCGGGCTGATGGATGGGCGGGCTGATGGATGGGCGGGCTGATGGATGGGCGGGCTGATGGATGGGCGGGCTGATGGCTGGGCGGGCTGATGGATGGGCGGGCTGATGGATGGGCGGGCTGATGGATGGGCGGGCTGATGGATGGGCGGGCTGATGGATGGGCGGGCTGATGGATGGGCGGGCTGATGGATGAGCGGGCTGATGGCTGACTGGGCTGATGGATGGGCGGGCTGATGGATGGGCGGGCTGATGGATGGGCGGGCTGATGGATGGGCGGGCTGATGGATGGGCGGGCTGATGGATGAGCGGGCTGATGGATGGGCGGGCTGATGGCATCAGATGGCCAACATCATGTATGATGGTGGGAGAGGGGAGAGGGGAGTGATGGATGTGATGACAGCAATCGAGGCGTGTGCCGGGTGTGTGAGCGATGGCTTCACGATGACAGCAGCAACATAGGAGGCGACACTCATCTCCAAGCAGACCACCATGTCGACGAGCGAGTACAGCGCCAGCGCTAGCAACGAGACATCCGGTAGCGGTGAGTATTCCATGTCGTCTGCTGGTGACTCGAACTCGTCGTCGTCATCGTATGACGGTGTCTATGCCTACAAGTTCGACATGATCACCTCGGACAAGCCGCAGCGGCTGCCACGCGACACAGCCGTTCTCTTGGTCAACATTGCCGCTCTATGAGGGCTGACCGCCGAGCAGATGCCGCAGCTCAACGAGCTGCAAACCATGTTTGAGGACCATCCTTTTACCGTCTGGGCCATCCCGGCTAACCAGGTGCGTGCTACTCGCCTTGCTAGCTGGGCCCGGCCAGTGCTCGGGCCGAGGTTGAGAGGAAGTGGGCGAGATCGTGGAGGAGCGGTGAGAGATCGTGGAGGAGCGGTGAGAGATCGTGGAGGAGCGGTGAGAGATCGTGGAGGAGCGGTGAGAGATCGTGGAGGAGCGGTGAGAGATCGTGGAGGAGCGGAAGGGGTTGTTTGAGGAGCGGGGGAAGATTGGGGCGGGAAAGATGGTCGGGAGTGCGGGGAGAATAAGGCGGGATTGAAGCGCCGGGGGAGCGGGAGATGGCGGCATGTACTCACCACTCTGTCGATGGCGAGAACAGCACGGACTCCAGGAGAACGCTCGGGACGTGGAGATCCTCAACATGTATCGGTACGTGCGACCGGGTAACGGCTACGAGCCGAACTTCCCGATCACCACCAAGATGGATGTTGTTGGCCCGAACGGCGGCCTGATGGCCGAGCTGGCTGCCCAGCTCCCGCTCAAGCCTGAGAACCCGAACCGCCGCTACCTGGTCGACACCACGCCGTGCGGCCTCAAGACCAAGAAGGTCTCGTCCAAGACCATCGAGTGGAACTTTGGCATGATCCTTGTCGGGCCCGACGGCACGCCGCTCAAGCGGTACTACCCGTCGGTCAAGCCTACCGACGACGTCGTCGTGGCCGACATCGAGGACGCGCTCGGCGTCATCCTCAAGCGCAAGGCCAAGAAGGCCAAGAAGGCCAAGAAGGCCAAGGGCGGTAAGGCCAAGGGCGGCAAGGCCAAGGGCGGCAAGGCGAAGAAGTCCAAGGCTGGCGCCTCATCGGCCGATGACTCGACTGATGCTGCCGAGTCGTCGAATGCCAAGTCCAAGGCCAAGTCCAAGGCCAAGTCCAAGGCCAAGGGCAAGGCCAAGAAGGCCCGGCGCTGAGCTGAGCTCGCGCCCTCCTCTGCCCACTTTGCTCTCAGCGTTACTAGCAATGATGCACTTGCGATGGATCCTCCATCCAGCGACGGCGCTTCTTCTGAATCGGAACTGACAGACGCCTCCCCCAAGGCACGCACTACAGCGTGCCCGGGAGATGACTTGATCCCTTGACGCGCACAGGCCCATTTGTGCGGCACGGCACCCTGGCTCACTTCATCTGCTCGCCAAGCGATGCCGCAGCCCCTGTCTGTGCGCCGACAGCCTCTGGAAGCAGCACTCTACCTGAATGACCTCATCGCCAGCGCACCATTGTCGATGTTGACTGTAAAGATTGGCTCTCTGAACTTTGCGCACCCCTTGCGCACCGCTTGCCCTGATCACGACCACGGCCACGACCACGACCACGACCACGACCACGATCATGACCACAATCACCACTACGATCATGACCACGACCACAATCACAACCGCAATCACAACCACGAGAACAATTGATCGACCCCCCCCCCCCGCCCCCCGACGCGGTAGCTCGGGACTCGGGAACGAGGCGCCACTGGCTGGCCCCTGAAATA